CCAGGAGGTAGATTCACTAACTCCCAAGTGTGATTCTGCATAATAGAATCAACTTCACTTTTAATTGCCTCTTTCCACTGAGGGCCTTCAGACGAAGTCACTGCTTCACGATAAGTTCGTGGTTCATTTTCTAATAAACATGTTAGAATATCGGGTTCAGTCTCTATCAGAAATGATAGAGTCCCCGATTCAAATTCCAACAAATAAGTTAGAAAATCATTACCAAAGGACTTCTTAGTCCGTGTCCTTTTACTTCGTCTTAGTTCAGTTTCAGTTTCGGTTTCATCATACCACACTTTCAGGTATTTATAGGAAGGTTTCCTATTATACCACAACTCGTAAGGAGTCTTATGGAGTTTCTTTCGGGGTATTTTATTTAACAAATAATTGCTAGATAAAATGGCCTCCCCCCACATATTTTGGGGTAGCCCCGAACTGAGCAACATCGCATTCATCATATCTTTGAGAGTGCGATTTTTACGTTCCGCCACACCGTTTGATTGGGGTGTGTATGGCGGAGTTACTTGATGCACAATTCCATGTTGTGCACACAATTCGGCGAATGGAGCTTCATACTCCCCGCCCCTATCACTCCTAATCGCTTTAATTTTACGATTGAGTTGATTTTCTACTTCATTTTTATACCGAACGAAAGTTTCCAATGCCTCATCTTTACTTTTAAGTAAATAAATATAGCAGTACTTTGTGCTATCATCGACAAAAGTGATAACATATTTGTTACCACGTCTTGAAGGCGTTGCTTTGAAATCACACAAATCCGTGTGAATTAAATCTAGTGGCTGAGTGGTTCGTTTAATTGTTTGAAACGAACTTCGTGTTGACTTTGCTTCGACACACGTCTCACATTTGTGCGACATGTCGATATCAAACTTAGGGATATATTCCATGTTAATTAATTTCCGAAGAGACGCATAATTAACATGTCCTAGTCTTCCATGCCACACATTAAAAGACTCACAAACATAGGCAACAGGAGTTTTATTAATTTTCTCAACAACAGTGAGTACATTAAGCTTAAAAAGCCCATCTAAAATATAACCTTTGCCAATGAATATTCCCTTTTTGCTCAAGATCAGCTTATCAGACTCGAACACCATGCGAAATCCATGTTTGTTCAGTAGTGAGCCTGACACCAAGTTTTTCCGTATGTCTGGCACATACAACACATCATTCAGGGTGAGCTCCTTGCCGGATGTCATCTTGAGCTTCACTTTGCCCACGCCTTGAACCTCAGATTGGGCAGAGTTGCCCATCCACACCTTGTCGCCAGAAGTCTCCTTAAAGTCAAAGAGCATGGCCCGATTGGAGCAGATATGACGAGTAGCTCCGGTGTCAACCCACCACTCTTTCGGGTTAGACCCGACCAGGTTGACCTCTGTCACGACCGCACAAAGATCCATAGCATCTAGCTCCGAGCAGAGAGCTTCTTCCTTCTTCTGCTTCTTCTTCTGAGGCTTCTTGCGGCACTCTGAAGAACGGTGGCCCGTAATACCACAGTTGTAGCATTTCCCAGCGAACTTAGTCTTCGCGACGCCTCCTTTAGGACCAATTTTCTTCTTGTCTTTATTTGGCTTGGGCCCTTTGGAAGAACCCTCTTTGGGTGGATGCTCCACCACATTGGCCTTAGCAACAGCTACTTTCTTCTCACGAGTGAGACCCTCCTCACGGATCTGGAGACGAACAAGTAACTGTTCTAAAGTCATCTCTTTCCGTTTGAGCTTGAGATAGCTCCGGAACTCATCCCAAGTCGGCGGGAGCACATGAATAATTGCCGCCACTTGGAATGTCTCACTGACTCCCATTCCCTCATCAGTGCACTCATTAAAAATGAGAATCAATTCTTCAGCTTGACTGACCACGGGTTTGGAATCCACCATCTTAAAATCCAAGACCTTACCGACAATGAATTTCTTCGCACCGGCGTCCTCGGCCTGGTATTTGTTGGACAGTGTAGTCCATAACTCCTTTGCGGATGCAGCCCTGCTATAAACAGCATATAAGGAATCGCTCAAGCAATTCAGGATAAGGTTAAGGCACGTATAGTTATTCGCTGTCCATGCCTCTTTAGCCTGAATTGTTGGCTCGTCCGCATTCTCCCCCACAACAGGGGGGTCCTCCCTCAAGTACCTCGCAAGGTTGAGGGTGGTCAGCCAAAATAACATCCTTTGCTGCCATATTTTAAAACCAACACCTGTGAACTTTGCCGGTTCTTTGACAGAGTTCGCGGGGAGCATGACAGTAGGATGTCCAATCGGTGCGGATGTGAAGACACCCGTGTTCGGTCCAAGTGAGGGAATGACCGGTATGGCCGAAGCCATATTCGGTCCGAGTGGGGTGACAATTGCGGCCGTAGCCGCGGTTGGTCCAATAACCGAGGTGAACGGAGCGGACCCCATAGTCGCGCTCGATCCAACAAAGGTGGTGATCGGAGTGGACCCCATGGCCGCACTCGATCCAAAGGGAACGTTGATCGGAGTGGTCTGCCCAACAGAGCCACCCAATCCAGCCGAAACGTTCACAACCAGAGTCTCAGAACTACTCCCGTTTCCGGTGTGAGCGTCAAAACCGAATCCGTCCATACCCGCCATCGTGCACGGATATGACTATTACCTTAAGCTTGTTAGAAATGATCGTACGGATTACAATAGACGGGAAAGAGGAACGGTCCCGGAAACTAAAAGAAATAAAATAATCCGAATTTATAATTTTATTCGGATTAATTACAATAAATAAAATTAAATTAGCTTCCGATCTTCAAAGGCCTTCTTTGACAATGAGGACTTTGTGCACTAAAAAGAAGCAGCGAACTGGGACGTAGAACTCGAGAACAAAATCTGCAAAATAGAACACTGTGGAAAGGCAGCGAAGTCGCCGGAGCTGTCCTTAAGGTAATAGTGCCCGCCTACCGTACTGGAGAACGTGGGCACTTTCCTCCCAGGATAAAACCGCTATCGTGTGTAGTGGTTGTACGGACCGACCACACACCAACGAACAAGAACAACGTCGGAGTATTGCTGACTAAAAAAAACGTTAAAGAGGATGGCTTGAAACTTTGGCAAAAAACTAGAGCCTTTGCACTCACAAAGTTTTTTTTCTTCTTTTTCCTTTCTTGTTCGTAAAAACCAAGGGGGAAACAAAAAAAAACTTTTAATAACAAAAATAGGCAATCTTCTCTCTTCTTGTGTGTACGTATATATCCAAACCAAGAAGCATGAAAGGCCATTTTACATTTAATGCAATTAACATGTGCCTTCATTTTTTATAAGAATCGAAACAGATCAATTCTTTATCATGGGCATAATGACACTCATCAATAATCATAATGATTATATCATTTATGTACATTATTATCAACCGTTGGCATACACATTAGTTTAAAATTTGTTCCTATAAATTGGAGATTAGTGGCCAGTTAACTCCGAACTTTGGAACTAATTAGAACAAACGTGTAAAACAGGTTGTAGAAATTTGAAAATAATAAATATTTCCTTCTACTCAACAGTTCATTTGAGAATCAATTTCTCATTCACCTTCTACCATTTTTGGCGTATAAATTATCAAAATATTTATCTCATTTAAGAGAACACACGTCCATTAATTAACGGTTAAAACCGTTAGTGGACCTATTGACAAATATACCCAAGTTGGTCCATTTAATGCCTATTAAAATTCCAAAAATTCCAACAAATATTTACATCAATATTAATTATCAAAGTTCTCAATTATCAAAGCATCAATAATATCAACACCCTCAATTTCCATAGCTTCAAGAGTTTGATTCTCATTTCTTGGAAAAAAATAAATCTGTTATAACAAATTTATCAAGAGCCCTTTTTTGAAATTTGTTGAAACTTTTTAATTCTATTACTCATTTTAAATCAAAGCATTCAATAACGGAATAATAAAGTTAAGAAACATCTTGGAACTTAAATATGTAAAAGGTTTACCAAGTCCATTTAAATTCTGAGAAAAATAAAAAATAATCATCAAACAAATTATTCAATCGGAATAATAAAGTTAAGAAACATCCTGGAACTTAAATATGTAAAAGGTTTACCAAGTCCATTTAAATTCTGAGAAAAATAAAAAAAATAAGATTTACGTGTAAAAATAGAATAAAAATAAATTTTATCTGCATGCAAGAAGAGGTGTTAAATACTCATTTCGTCCCAAATTATAATACATGTTCACTATTTATATGGTCAAACTTCATTTATTTTCTTTCTCTATTTTCGTTAGCAATTTGATAAAATTTGAAGTTAAGAAAATAGAAACATTACAACTACGTATTGAGAAAGAAGACCAAGAGTGATGACTGAAGATGGAAGCACCTCAAGCTCTCAATAACAAAGGAGTCACATTCTCACATATGCTAGGTTTGCCAAAAATGTTACTGTGCCATATTTGAACAAATAGAATTGAGGCCTTGAGGGTGGGAGAGGGAACAAATCAGAGAAAGTGATGGGCCGATACCCAGTGGGCGGCCCAACTGAACCATTTACACTACTTCGGGTCAGACACTCGGAAAATACTCCGGTCTGGGTCGGCCCATGGAGCCAGGCCCGGTTGACTTTAGACCAAACGTAGCTGGCAGAGCCGGTCCGGAGAAGGAGACGGAGCAAATTGGCCGTTATAGAGCCGGAAAAAGGGGATCGCGCCCTTAACGGGATAGACTCCATCGATTATGCGTTACCTTAAGTGCATATAGCTCATGTATAAATAGAGGGGACCCAAAAGGAGGAAATTCAAGCTAGATCAAGCTAATAATACATACCCAATTCTCGAATTCTCGTTCTTAATTTTGTTCTTACGATCCGCTTCGTGAATCGGATCATTTGGTGGATTTATTGTCCATCAAGTTGGTGCTCTTGTTGAGAGTTCGAGAATCATACTCAGAGGAAATCCTCCATTAAGACGATGGTGCAAACGCGCAGTAACGCCAATGTAGGTACCGGAGCTCCCCAACAGGGGGAGAACAGCACCACTGGAGGTCGGAACCCTCCCATCACCACCGGGGAGGCTGAGGCCCTCATTCAGAGGGTTGGCATCACGGCCGAACAATTCAAAGAGGTGCTGGCTGCACTTGCGCCCAACCGCGAGGTTGTGGTGGAAGATGTGGCTGGGGGACCCACAGGCG